CCGCGGTATAATGCCGACATGGCTGGCTGCGTTTCCTCACTAAATGGTTATACTTAAACTTTGAGCGAGAAAAGAATAATTCCTCTTACGAGCGCGGGTCAAACAGTTCGCAAAAAGGAGAAGTTAGAGAAGGGAGGGTTTTTTCGACGGACTTCAAAAAGGAGGAGATACGCAATTCGATTGTATGTTCTTTTTTCTTCTATTTTCTGAGTGAACCGATTTCACACCAATTGAAAAACAAAAGTGGGTCGAGTGTTTGCGTAAGTTTTTGGACCTGTGATGTGAGAACAGGGACTAAATTATGAACGGAATTTTATCTGTGGATGAAACTTGGGTTCATCACTATTCAGTGCAGTGGAATAAAAAAGGCGTAACATCGCCTAAGACGTTTAAGGTATCACACAAAATAACGCCACTTTCACGTATCATCATCATAATTACAGTTAAGAAGATTTATATTGAAATGAAATTGCCTTCATGCTTTATCCAGGTTTAGGACTGGCTGGTAACGAGTCAATAAAGTAACAATAAATTTTCATTCATTCATTATAGCCCTTCACAAATCCACTGCTGAACATAGGCCTCCTCCAAGGAATGCCACAAAGCACGGTCCGAGCCAATTCCATCCATTGACTTCCTGCATGTCTTACCAAGTCGTCACTCCATCTAGTGGGGGTCGCCCTACACTTCGCCTATTGGTAAGAGGCTGCCACACGAGAACCTTTCTTCCCCATCAGTTGTCGGTTCTTCGAGCTATATGGCCGGCCCATTGCCACATCAGCATACTAATTCTTTGGGCTATGTCGGTTATTCTGATTCTACTGCGGATATCCTCGTTTTTAAGTCTATCACGCAGAGAAACGCCAAGCATAGTCCTCTCCATAGCTCGCTGAGCGACTTTGAGCTTCCTCATACGACCAGTATTGAAGGACCACGTCTCAGATCCATAGGTCATCACTAGCAACATGCACTGGTTTTACAATCGTTTTGAGGTAAGTCTTACGAGAAGATGTGTCGTAATTTCCTGAACGCTGCCCAGCTGAGTTAAATCTGTCAATGGACCTCTCGGTCGAAGTTGGACTTACCTAGTCGGACTATTTGTCCCTGATAAACATATTCTTTAACAACTTCGAGCTTAGTGCTCCAAACTACTGCCGGCATAGGTGTTACATGGACGTTAAACATGATTTTTGCTTTGTCCATATTCATTTTAAGATCTATCCGTTGGGTGACACTATTGACGTCATTGACCATAGTGCTTAGGTCCTCCAGCAATTCTGCCATAAGGACTATATCTACGGCAAATCGAAGGCGAATAATGTACTCGCCATTGACGTTAGTACCGTAGCCTTTCCAGTCCAGTAGCTTGAAAACGTCTTCCAATGCAGCGGTGAAGAGTTTCGGAGATATTAATTTACCCTATTTTACACCTCTCTACAGTTGAATAGGTTTCGTACTCTGGTTCTGTACTCGGATAGCCATCGTAGTTCGTAGCTCTACTGTAAAAACACTTCAGATGTACCAACAGTCCACCTGGCACCGCTGGAAGGACTGCAGCACCTCCCAAATTTGACGGAATCAAAGGCCTTCTCATAGTCCACATACGCAAGACAAAGTGGCAGATTGTACTCTACAGAAGACCGAATCTTCTGTACAATTTGCCAAAGGTTAAGTATGTGGTCTATGGTGCTAAAGCCTTTTCGGAAACCGGCTTATTCGGGAGGCTGGAAGTCATCGAGTCTGCATGCAAGACGATCTCTCGGCAAAGACTTTGGAGCCATGGTTCAGCTCGATCGCTTCTTCACCTAAAGTTGCGTAAGTCCCGCCGCATGCATTTGGAGATCGGTCTGCTCAGCTGCTTGTACGAGGGCGACACTGAAAGTTTTTAGAACTCGCCACTTGTAAACGATATAATAAAAAAATAAGTTCAAATTTTGAAAATGGAACTCTGCCAATATTATTGTGTATGTGTTTTATTAATTTGTCATTTGTTTACGATTTGGCGGCAATTTGAAAATTGTCTGTTTCACATCAGCATGAATTTAACGCGAGAAAATTTTTGTACAATGTTTTTTTGACTTTCGATGTCATTTAAGTCAACAAGAAAGTTATGATAGACGATTGGCCTTTCACGATGAAGCCTCATCACTCTCTCATGCCACTGTTTAGAACTGATTTAATGAGTTTAAGCGTGGTCGCACTAATCTCACCGCTGAGCTGCGTAAGGGACGGCCTTCTACGTCGACGACTGAAGATAACATGAGTGATGTGCGGCGTATGATAGAGACTAACAAAAGAGTGACTTATCAGCAGATTCGGACAAGCTTAGCCATCGGTATGAGTCAAGTGCACAAAATTCTGGAAGATCCAGGAAGATTTGTGCCCGGTGGATACCTCATAATTTGAATGGTGTCGTAAAATGGTTCAAAGATTTAACGGAGGTGACTCAAATGCTGTGTTCGACATACTTACGGGTGACGAAAGCTAGATTTATTGTTATGATCCTGAAACTAAGAGCTGTCTCTCAGACTGTTCTGCTGTCTGAGTGTTTCCTTCCGAGGAGTTGCCAACTAAAGTGAAGAGAGGTCGAAGTGTGCGAAAAAAGATGGTGGCCTCGTTCTCCGGTAGGACAGGTCATTACGCAACAATTGTAATAGAGGATCGAAAAATAGTTACTACAGAGCGGTACACTAACAATTGTTTGCCACTTGTCTTCGAAAAAGTTCGGGAGAAACGACCTCGCATTAGGATCCTCCTTCACCACAACGCATCGTCCGCACACCACCAAGCAAACAATCGACTACTTGGCGATGTCAGACGTGGACCCAGCCTATAGCCCCGACCTCGCACCTTGCGATTTTCATTTATTTCCGAAAATAAAATAAAAACTTCGATTAAGAGTCCATCTTTCTCCATGAAGTCGGCCAGCTTCTGGCCCTTGGGTTCCGTCGCCCTATTCTTAATTTCCCTACTTTCAGCTCACTGTTCTCTCTTGTGCCTAGTCTTGCGTTGAAGTCTCCTTTTAACATCGTATAGTGGGTTTTGGAGGAATGCATGGCTCTAGAGGTATCCTCATACATTTCCTCCACCTCCTCATTAGGATGTGCCGAGGTTGGTGCGTGTTGTGTATGTCTATGTGTGTAAAGGTGTGGGGGCTGCATTCCCCACCGAACGGTCGCTGTCTCATTAAACCTGCGTGCAATTAACTAGCTTGTCTAATTGACGTATCGCCCTTGTCACTCCCTAAGTCTATCAATATCCAACACGTGGCGACGTGCGAACTCGCGTATTTACATTAAAAATGTCGACGGGAGTAACTTTTGGCATTTTATCAACATTCGATCATCTTTCGCACGAATGGAACAGTTATAAATCGCGATTGAATCAGTGGTTTATCGCGAACGACATAACCAATGAAACTGACAAAGCAACAGTAAAGCGGCGAGCGATATTGTTGAGTGCGCTAAGTGAATCGACGTTCAAGTTAGCTAATGACCTGGCTTTACCCAGAAAGGTGGAAGAGTTGAGCTACGGAGCAATAGTTAAGCTCCTCGATGATCATTTCACACCGAAAAAACGACAATCGTTATAAAAATTTCAAGTGTAAAAAGTGTAATAGAAAAGGTCATTTACGAAAAATGTGCCCTTATGATGACAGAATAAAAAAAATCTAGAAAGGTAGTGTGGTCGAAGGAGACGACGACGGTGAGTGTTTTTACAATATTCGGTGCTTGAAAGGGAAACCGATGGCGGAACGCGTTATGATACATGGTATTTCTTTAGAGTTCGAAATAGATAGCGGTTCTGCAGTAAGTGTAATTTCGGAAAAAACTTATATTACTAAATTTAATTATTTGCCATTGTCAGCCACCAACAAAAAGCTGTTAAGTTATACGGGCGAACACATACAAACCATCGGGTTAGTTTCATTACCTATAGAATATAGTGGGATCTCGCATACTCTAAGCGTGTATGTAGTGCGCAATGGCGGACCGTCGCTTCTGGGCAGGGACTTCATTCGTGTCTTTAACTTAGAATTAGCGCATGCGCAGCCAGTCGCCAGTGGCAGCCACAGAGTACATTATATTGGTGGCAGCTCTCAGCGTGTGCATGCGGTATATGCGCAAGCGCAAGGTGATTGCCACGAAACAATAGTAAAAAAATTATGCTCAAGATTCCCTAATGTTTTTTCTAGTAAGCTTGGGTCATTTAATAAGTATACTGTTGATTTATATTTAAAATCGGACGCAAAACCTATATTTTTCAAAGCTAGACTCGTACCATATGCCCTAAAGGAAAAAATAGACAAAGAGATGGATCGTTTGTTGGCGTTAGGCATTTTAAAACCCGTCGAGCACTCAGACACTGCTTCACCGATAGTGCCGGTATTGAAAAAGGACGGTAGCATCCGTTTGTGTGTCGATTATTCGGTAACTATTAATAACCAGTTAATAGTTGACCAGTATCCTTTACCCACAGTAAGCGATTTATTGGCAAAATTACACGATGGCATACAGTTTAGTAAAATTGATTTATCTATGGCCTACAATCAATTCGTGTTAAGCGATAAATCACAAAAAATCACATGTATAAATACACACACTTTTTAACAGTGGTAGAGCCACGCGGCAGCTTTTGCTGTCGCATGGATGGGCCGGCTCGAACCGGGGTAGTACCACGACCTCACAGAAAACCAGCGTGAAGTAGAGGTTTACCTCTGCGTTTCGCTTGGTGAGTGCAGGTGGCCGGAGGCCCTTTTTACTGGAAATGAGGCATTCTATCTTAGTCCTCACGGGTGACAACGCATCTACATTTTGATTTGTAACAGAGGATAGATGTAGATGTCTATGGGCCGCAGCAACCACTTACCATCAAGTGGGCTGTGTGCCCGTTTGTCACCCTTATCAGATTGAAAAAAAAAAACAAACACACCGCGGTCTTTTTAATTTACTCGGTTGGTCTTTGGTCTGGCATCTGCTCCATCAATCTTTCAGCGTGCGATGGAGAGTTTGCTCGCTGGGATTGAGGGAATAATATTTTTGCTTGATGATATTCTAATCACGGGCAAAAGCAAAGTTCAACATGAACAAAGGCTTATGGCTGTTCTACAGCGCTTAGACGACGCAGGATTGAGTGTTCAAATGAATAAGTGTGAGTTCTTTAAAGATGAGATTTCTTATCTGGGTCACGTGATAGATAAAACTGGGGTTAGGAAATCACCAGAGAAGGTAAAAGCCATTCTCGAAGTGCCTAAGCCGAATAATGTCTTACAATTGCAGTCTTTCCTTGGTTTGGCGAATTATCATCGTAACTTCGTGCCGAACGCATCGTCTATACTAAGTCCACTCTACAACTTATTAAATAAAAAATCTAAATGGGAGTGGACTTCTGTACATGACGATGCGTTCAAGAAAATAAAAAAGTATCTCGCTAGTGACAAAATTTTAACCCACTTTAACCCGAATGCTGAGTTAATATTGACAGTTGACGCGTCTCCAACAGGGTTAGGGGCTGTATTGCCTCAGATAGGCGACGACCGATTAGAAAGACCCATATCTTATGCCTCGCGAACGCTTACAGCTGCTGAAAAGAATTACGCACAAATACAGAAAGAGGCGACGGCCATTATTTATGGCGTAAGACGTTTTCATCAGTATTAGTATGGTTGATCCACGCCTTTCACGCTACGAACAGACCATAAACCACTATTGACTATATTCGGGCCACATAAAGGCATTCCCGAGGTGTCCGCCAACCGACTACAGCGTTATGCGATGTTTCTGGCGGTCTATAATTACAAAATCGAATATATCAGTAGCAAACATAACAGCGCGGATTACTTGTCCAGAGCGTATCCCCCTGCGTCCATATCGCGCCTCGAATCGATGAGGACGTTCGCTAGTGAGTTAGACGAGCGAAGATCGCGCTGCCTATGTTAATTTCGTAGTCGATGGTGGTCTGCCGGTGACACTGAAAGATTTACAACACGAGACGAGCAACGACGCGGTTCTGTGTCGCGTTAAGCACTACGTTTTACATGGGTGGCCAAGAAAAAATAATGATTTAGATTTAAAATCCTTTTACAATTGTATATATCAACTACCTTATGAAAACGGTGTCTTAATGCGCGGCCATAAAGTTGTGATTCCCGCATCACTTGAATACCACACTTCTTGAATACCAGCGTAAAATAGCAGCTTAATGCTGCTGTGTTTCGTATGGTGAGTGTAGAGAACCGGAGACCCTTTTTACTGGAAAAGAGGTATTCCATCTTAGTCCTCACAGGTGACAACGCATCTGCATTTTGATTCACAAATGAGGATCAATGTAGATGTCTATGGGCCACAGCAACCACTTACCATCAGGTGGACTGTGTGCTCGTTTGTCACTCTATCCTATAAAAAAAAAAACTTCAAGAGTTCATATGTAAGGAATTGCATAGTTCTCATTTCGGGGTGGTAAAAATGAAAGCGGAGGCACGTAAACGTTTATGGTTCCCCGGGGTGGATGCCGCACTGGAGCAGCTGGCAGGCGCTTGCAGCGTCTGCGCAGCGCTGCGGCCCGCGCCGCCGCACGCACCCCTCGCTCCCTGGCACTTGCCACCGCATCCATTTCATCGGGTCCATCTTGACTTTCTAGGTCCATTCAACAATTTTATGTATTTGATTATTGTAGACGCTTACAGTAAATGGGTTGAATGTTATAATACCAAAACTGTTATTAACAGATTATACAATTTTATGTCCCGTTTCGGAGTACCTCATACATTGGTGAGTAACAATGGAACCTCTTTCACGTCTCAGGAGTTTAGAAGTTTTTGTCTACAAAACTGAATAAAACACATATTATCCCCGGTGTATCATCCAAGTAGTAATGGACAAGCAGAAAGTTTTGTCAAAATTGTTAAAAAGGGCCTCAAGGGTATTATTTTACAAAGCGTAAATAAAAAAATAGTTCAAGAAAAAATATCAAAATTCTTATTTGACTATAGGAACTCTAAAAACAGTAGATACCACAAACAAGTCACCAGCAGAACTTGTATACGGGCGTGCGTTACGTTCACGGCTAGATTTACTAAATCCATTCGCGTCGTCTCCAGCGTCCACAGACCTCGTTAAAACAGTGGAACATAATCAGTTATTACAGGCCCATAATTATAAAGGGACACAAAGAACAGAATTAAAAATTAATGATAAGGTGTTAACCACACCACGAGACATATTGATCAATTAAGGGCACGGTTATACTCACCGCCTAGAGATGACCGGCGATGGGACCCGGATGTGGTGCCCGAAGAGCTGACCGCTACTACTTCTAGTGACGGAGTCCGGTCTGGAACCACAGCTGATGTAGGAGGGGAAGGACGGTATATAACGGAATCAGACCTGGCAAGGACATATATTAGTGAGTTCCCGAAGACTCCGCTTCTTGCTAGCGCCGCTACTCTAAGAAGACAAGCTATAAGCCCGATATTCTCTACGCCGACATCGGAACAGGAGTATACCTAGATTACGGCTTACATTTCCCTACGTGATCTATGTTTTCATAACTTTGAACTTTTGTACTTATTAATTTCGTATATTATGTTAGCTATAAGGTGGAGGGATGTTGTGTGTGTCTATGTCTGTAAAGGTGTGCGGGCTGCGTTCCCCACCGAACGGTCGCTGTCTCATTAAACCAGTGTGCAATTAACTAGCTTGTCTAATTAACGTATCGCCCTTGTCACTCCCTAAGTATATCAATATCCAACAGTGCGTAAACCTGTATGACCGCCCGGCCACCGTAGCCAGGAATAGCATGGCCACCGGGGACTGGGGGCCATTTATTTTTGTCATTGCTCATGGGGGTTATATTGGTATAGTTGCGACTTTTGGCGAGAGATTTGGCAATCGCAGTTTTTTTTATTGCTTTTTGCTGTTATCAGAAAGATGCTGCTGCCCATCTTCTGCCTCAGTTTCCCTCTGTCGCCTTTTAGGGCACCCACGGGAAGATATGGGGTGATGGGTATTCTTACCCACCAATACACGGGGCCATAACAATTATTAATACTTAAGTAAAATAATATATAATAAAATAATAATACATATATACAATTGTATGCTCTTCTTATCTTATAACAAATATTGTTGTTGTTGCACAAACAAAATCTACTATATTAGCAATCGCGCCTAAAAACAAACTGTGCCATAAAACACGAGATGAATTTAGACTGGGTCAATGCCACGTAATTCGAAATCCTGATAACACTATTGGTCATACTGTGTACAGAAAAAAAATACCCATACCGACCGATATTTAAATGGTGAATCGCACCATCATCCTTCACAGTTAGCTACCGTGGGAAAATCTTTGTTTCAGAGAGCACGAGGGATCTGTGACAGAAAACATCTGGCCGCCGAGCTTCAGCACGTCGAGCAAGTACTGCAAGAAAACAAGCTTCGGGTCCCGCGCCTACGTCACAGTGACCGAGTGAAGCCAGCCACAGTCGAGCGTGTGGCTGCTCTTGAAGCGAGCTTCCATTAAAACATACTTCAAGCCGCTGAAGAAGATTAGTCAATTTTACCATCCCTCAAGTGTCATATCCCTCTACAAGATGCAGGAGTGTTAAAGCTGGATTGTGAATGTGGTCTCTCGTACATATGACAAACAAAAAGATCTATAAAAACCCGCGTTAAAGAACATATAGCTGATGTGAAGCAACGACGTATCGGGAAGTCTGCAGTTTATGAACATGTTCAAGATCGCCCCGCCATTACATTAGATTTGATAGACCACAAATCCTCGCAAAAGAACACCAATTCCTCCCAAGGATGATTCGCGAGGCTATTGAAATTAAAAAACATCCTAATTTCAATAGAGAAGATGGACGGGTGCTGCCATCTGCTTGGGATCCCATAATTAAAAAAATCAAATCCAAACCCAAGTATACCACTGCTAGACTTCAAGATATGTAAGCTCATTCTGCATAAATCGAACCAAAAATTAATATTAAAAAACTGAAGGTAGCCGGGTTAACTATGACAGCAGGGCCTCAAACACCTCAGTCCCCCGTGACCACGGGTGCTGGAAAGTACCCGAAACGTCGGGAATATAAAAAATAAGTTAATATACGCGATAAAATCCGTAAAATTAGTTTTATTTAAAAATATCAAATATTGGATGTTTGGATGTTTGTTACCACTAATCTTCGAACCAATTTGGATGAAAATTAAATTATACATAGATCTTGACCTAGAATAAAAATATGGTACTGTATTGCGATTTTATGTACTTAAGTACACGCTAGTGTAGAGTAAATATCATTAACAATGTAAAAAAAAGAGTCATCTTTATCAAAATACGACTCCTTTTTACACAGCAAGATTTTATGTTGAAGCAGTTGAAACAGTGCGATGATATTTGTTCGTAGGTTGTAGGACACAATATTTTGACACGCCGTGTATGTTGCAAAACTTTAAGGAGTGCTTTAAACCATCGAACTGAATAAATTTTACTATGGGACTAACTTCGAAACCGCGAAAAAATTACCGCTGTTCCATACTAAAGTTAATATCTACTGTTCGAAACTGTATGGGACAGCTGTTTTCTTTTTCGCGATTTCAAAGTACGTCCCATAGTCAGTTATCCAGTTAGATGGTCTAAAGCACTCCTTAACCTTAGTAAAGTTAATTTTGAGACGCCTTATATAATAACTAGGTTATGAATAGTATTGTAATATTAAGTATATAATGTGATATGTTATGTATGTGCTACATTTCAGTAAACATGGCCCTCACGGCAGCAGAAAGAGCTAAAAGATACCGGGAGAAACTGAAACAAAACCCCGAAAAATTTGAAGAGCAACGGAGGAAGCAGTTAGAACGACTTAAAAAGAGTTTAAAAACCTTTAGTGAGTTGACAGAAGAAGATAAAGAACGTAGAAGAAAAAAATGGAGGGAAGAAAAGAAAAAACAGAAAGTAAAAAAGAATAAAAAAGAAAATGATGATCAAAAAGCTACCCCAAGTTCATCGAAGTCTCAAAACAGCACAGCTGTTTTAAAAATTCGTTGCAAAAATATGTAATAGTTATCGAGGAGCTTTAGAAAATATTTGCAAATTAAAAGTAAAAAATGAAGCAATTCGCAAGAAACTTTACCGTGAAAAGTTAGCTCATGAGACAAAAGTTGGTGAACTACAAAAAATAATAGATAAACTTACTGTGCGGCAAGAAATTTTAGAAATGTCACTACGCGAAACTTACTGCACTGCTCAATCTTTATCAGAAAAAAGGCTGCTTAAATCTGTCACAGTAAACCAAGTGGCCAAAATCAATAGATCAGTCAAAACGATTGCTACATGCTTGGGGCTAAAAGGCCGCATAAGACAAAGTAAGAAAAAAATTGTGTTAAACAAGAAGATTCAAGAAGAAATAAAGCATTTTTATTTAAGAGATGACATAAGTCGAAATACTGCTGGAAAACGAGAAACAAAAACTAGAGGAAACAAGAAGATGCAGATCAGATATTTAACTGACACATTACAGAATTTATATGAAATTTATAAAAAGGAAGGAGGAACGCACAGCTTTACGACTTTATTTCGCTATAAGCCGTATTACGTTTTGTCACCTACGGCCAAAACTAGAGATACCTGTATGTGCGTTAAGCATAGCAACATGGAGTTTCTTTTTATTGCTCTGAAAAACAAAAATGTAATAGACTATAAAAACCTCGAAGAAAATATTAATAAGTCGGTTTGTGACAAAAACTTGCATGCTTGCATGTACGAACAATGTGTAAATTGTAAAAACCGAAGCCTACAATACAAAGAGGAAAAAAATGACGACGAAATTACATGGTTTAGATGTAATAGAGTTACGCATACATACCAAAAATCGGAAAAAAGTACTACTACTAAAAAAACTGTGAGGCAAGTGCAGAAAGGAAAGGTTCGAGATCTAGTGACGGAATTTAAAGCTGAGTTTTCAAAATTTAAGAGACACTACTACAACCGGAAGAGCAGCAGCGGCAATACCAAATTTGCATTAAAAATCTGGCCATTAAAGAAATTGCTATTTTAATCGACTTTTCCGAAAATTACGACTGCAAATTGGGGGCCGAGATTCAATCGATGCATTTTGGAGCATCAAAAAATAGTATAACATTCCATTGTGGTATGATTTATTGGATTGATAAATCGCAATCGTTTGTAACGATATCTGATAATACATGCCACGAACCCAATGCCATCTGGGCACATCTCTTGCCAATATTACAGTTTGTAAAGAAATCAGACCCAACAATTGAATTCATCCATTTTTTTTTCTGACGGCCCCACATCCCAATACAGACAGAAAAAGAACTTTTACCTCATGAACTTATTTACAACCAAATTGAAATTAAAATATATTACCTGGTCATTTTCGGAAAGTGGACATGGTAAGGGAGTCGCAGATGGCATTGGGGGTGCAGTTAAAAGACAGCTAGATAGACGTGTGGCTTATGGGCATGATGTGACAAATGCAGATGATGCGTATCAACATTTATCAACCAGCATGAAATCTGTTAAATGTATCAAAGTCTCTGATAGTGATATCGACAATATTTTTTTTTTATAGGATAAGGGTGACAAACGAGCACACAGTCCACCTGATGGTAAGTGGTTGCTGCGGCCCATAGACATCTACATCTATCCTCTGTTACAAATCAAAATGTAGATGCGTTGTCACCCGTGAGGACTAAGATGGAATGCCTCATTTCCAGTAAAAAGGGCCTCCGGCCACCTGCACTCACCAAGCGAAACGCAGAGATAAACCTCTACTTCACGCTGGTTTTCTGTGAGGTCGTGGTACTACCCCGGTTCGAGCCGGCCCATCCGTGCGACAGCAAAAGCTGCCGCGTAGCTCTACCACTGTTGTATGAACAAAACCATTCCATGAGATCTTAAAGCTGTCCCGCAGACCATGAAACTCCACCAGATCATATCTGTCGATGTCGGTCAAATTATGCATCGGCAATTAAGCTGCTTCTGTGGCGATAAACGCGGGCTTTGCACTTGTCTGAATCCCGAAATTCATTCATTTGATTCTGACCGGAGTCAATGTGACAGTCGAACTGTCTCTGTTGTTGGACTCGACATGGCACCTTGCAATAAAAGCCGTGATGTTACAACCAACTTCGTAAACGACATTGTTCTTTACGATAAAACTGACCATGGTGGTCATGATGCTCAAATATTTTTGGATATTGAAGAAAAAGCTGCTTTTATTGCTGAAAACGATCAGAGTAACCCCGAGGTTCAAACAGTCGCGATCATTGATGCCGAAAATGTACCTCGCGATGAAAGTGGTAGAGGAATCACCACTGTAACTGATACTGCACCCTGCAGTAAAACCGACCAGAGTGACCTTAATATTGTTGACCTTACTGCTTCGCCCAGTCAGAATGATAATGAGACTGATTCCATCATGGAACTTAACTTGATGAACTTGAAGTGGATGATGTTCTGGATTTAGAAGTTTTTGACGGTGTCATAGATTACCCTCAACTGGGGTTTGATTTAGATTTAAATACCGTAGACTGCTTGACAAAATACGATGCCGTAGGCTGTTTGACAGAAGAAAAAGAGAATGAAAATAAGAATAAAAGAAAGAATTATACATTGGCATCAGATAAAGGTCCGTCAAAGAAAAAGCTAAAAGTACTAATATCAATAAAAGAAGAAAAATACAGGAATACGTCACTAAAGACTATAATCAGTAGAAACCATACATGCCATATGTGTAAACTGCGTAAACTCTATGTGATCACGGACATGACAAAGTGTATTGCTTGTAAAAACTGGGTATGCAGATCATGCTGCAACCAACCAGCTATTGATTATATTTGCGACCGATGTTTCGAAGACTGATTAGAATCTTAAGCGATACGTAGCTAACTACATTCCAAATAGCAATGAACAAAACGTAATTTCAATAATGAATAATTTTTCTTTATTTTTTTTTAATAATAATAATATAACTCAGGAGTACATTTAACAACTGAATAATTTTCTTTGCGTCAATTTTATTTTGATTGCTTGGTCGTGAGGGTAATTGCTATTTGGAATATCAATAGGTATTACTTATTTAATATGAGTAAAAATTAACCAAATTTAAAAAGCTGTGTTCAAAGTATGTAAACTGTGTACCTCAAGATTAAGTTGAACAGGTTTTAGTAATCAGCTGTTTTTACTTTAGATTATTAATTTAAAGACTGTTAAAATAAAAACGTTCGACCAAATATTACTCAGTTAGCTTAATTTTTTCCAGTTAGTCACTTAGAAGTCCAGACTAATCTTTTTAGTAAATATTTAGTAAATTGATAATATTTTTGTAGTAGTTGTTGACCGTGAATTGGTCGTTTATATTATTTTTAATCGCGTTCAATTTTATTTTAAGTAATAAGTATAAATGTAATGTTTTAATGGTCAAAAGTTCCGTCTGTGACGAACTCGAAAGTAAAATGATTGCTAAGCGGTGATCATAGTGATTTATGTATGTTGTTTGATGTTTTGTTTCAAAGATTTCATGGTTTATTTAATAAATAATAAAAAAAATTATCATATTAACTCATATTTTTCATTTCATTTTCATTTTTCCTTTGTGACGAACCGGAGTACGTTCCTGTGAATTCTTCGATAAAAATAAAGATTATAACGTTGTTTTGCATAATACTGATGTATTTTTATTTTTACTTGATTATAGTATATTTTATCGAATGAGATAAGAATTTATGGTAAAATTTCTATAACACAAAAAACTTGTTCCGGTTCGTCACGTGTACATCTTTTTTGAAAAACGCCCAATTACCAACATATTTGTCTTTATATTACTAAGTTTTGATAAACTATAAATTTCATTAGGGTTGTTGAGTTCCTTGTCTATAATACTTATCGATGTTCTTTCCTACCCATATCTATTAACAAGCAACCTACCTAGGACTAGAACCTAGACTAAAATTATGGCCAATAAGCACTAAAATTGTGAATTGGCGTCCCAAGCAAAATGATTATCTTTGTCCTAAACACTTCACAGATGACTGTTTTATTAGTCGTGAGAAATGCACCCTTTTGAATAAGTAGAGTATACCCACAATATTTTCTGGTAATACCAGTACCAGTAAGTATAAAAGTATTAGATTATTATTTCGAATGTTTTTTATTTCTTCTCTCCTTATTTTCCCCCATCCTTCTCTCCTTAGTAGCCGTGCTTGGTAACCCATGGTAAACGTAGGGTGACTCACATGGCTGGCCCGAAGTGAAGGGCTGGCCCAAGGCGGCTACTCTGTGGGCTTGACGAGCCTATGGATGTGTGTTAGTGAGCTGCGGCTAGAGGAGAGTCCTCTCTCTATATCACTGCAGCCGAGGTGGTGGCAAGGGAAGAGGATTGTTGGTATGGTAATGCGCCACTCGATTATTTTCCGCGACTTTGGCAGGACTGTACTACTTGGTGCTTCCAAGTGCTTGTTTTTTCTAGGCTCCATGGCCTCCACATATCGGGCTCGGGATGTCAGGAAGGGAAGTCCTCAACTAAGGAGGTGTCCTCGCTGGTGGGGCCACGGATGTGCTTGAAAGCATTGCCGTGGCCTTGTCATTGTGTGGTGAAGGTGGAACGTCATGGGGTTTTAGTAGGTGCAAGTCCGACATACTCCGTTCTTGCCCCGCAATGCAGGTATGCGTAGACATTTTCTGTTTTGAAACCCGGAACAAAATATGTTCTGTAGTTACGAATAAAAACGTTGATAGATCAACGCAGCCTCGATTCTTGTTTCATATGAAGTGTAAAGGTTGATTCTAAAGCCTAGCCTATTAATTGATAGATTTATTTATTTTATGGCATTATATTAATATGATACATAAATAAAATGGATGTTACGGGTAGACATGGGTATAGAATTCTTATCAATATATTTTTTGACACTGTCTTATCTCTATTATTAGTTCCGTGGACGTTCACTTCTGCTTTCATTGCCAAAATGGCGAATATCAAATCGCTTCATTATGTCACGGTTATAGCCAGTCCATATATAGAGGTCAGTGGGTGGACTGCAATCACAAAACACTAATACCCCGCTACCCGCTATTGTATTAATAGATAGTTTCAAATTTCAATAACTGTTTACGTTTTGTAACAACTAACAACCACTCCTACTGGCTCACAGAACACTAATACCCTTACTGGCTGGCATAACATTGACATGACAATATGTCATCATGACGTTTGTGCTTGTGCACAAACATTCGGGTAGAATCTTAGAATCTACCATAGATATAGTATTACCCGAATGTTTTTTAGTATTACTATATCTATGGAATCTACAATCTACTAGTTAGTCTGTGGCATAAACTAATGAGAAGTGCTAGCTTGGCCTAAAGGTCTAGATGCCAGGCCATAAACTCCAAAAAAAAAAAGAAGTGCTAGCTCAAGTTTGTGATTAGTGTGCCGCACAGAGTACATTATATATGGTGTGCCGTGACTGCCGTGCAGGCCGTGCACCACGGTGCACCATCTCCGCTAGGAGTAAAGTATTCTGTGCCGTGCACAGAGTACTTTTTATAAACTGGAAGTACCGTGTAGTGGACGAGCGACTTTTGGGTACTTGTTTCAAAACAATAAAACTCTACTTCTCTATCTCTAACGATAGGGAAAAAGAAAGATACTTCTTTGATAAAACACATTCCATATTTTGATAATATGTCGCATAAGTGCGTAACTCATTGTAATGGTTTTAAACACGGTATTAATTTTTACTTACTTATATTATTATTCAAAAATGTAATTTCAGTATAAAAATTCTACCTGGTGCTACTGTTTGTGAAGATTGTACGTTAGAAGGTGATATTACAATAGGAGGAGGAACAGTGATTCATCCGAGAGTTACTATTATTGCTGAGGGTGGACCTATCATAATAGCAGAATATTGTTTATTTGAAGAGTATTCCACAATTATTCATAAGTAAATACTCAAAAAATACAAATTATATCTAATTTTTAGTGGTTATTGTTCCTATTTTTTTTAGTTTCTGCTACATTTTCTGGCTGATGTAAAATTTAATTTTCACTTTTTACAATGTTTGATTGTAAGATTGTATTTTTCCAGGAAAAGTGATAAGCAAGAGAATCCTCCAAAACCGCTTTTTATTGGGGCACACAATGTCTTTGAAGTAGGATGTAAGCTTGAGTCACCATGTGGCCATATAGGAGAAAGCAATGTATTTGAATGCAGATCATTTGTTGGTGTTGATGTTAAGATTGGCAGTGGATGTGTAATTGGTATGTATTTTTGAGTATACATGTTTAAGTGTGCAGGAATAATGTATATAATATCTATGCAGCAGAATTATAAAGTCCTGTATAACATATTAAAAATGAATGAGTTAAGAAGGAATCTTAAAAATATATAAATAAGCTATTACAGAGAAACCATGTCCATCCTTAAAAGTAAATTTTGAGATACTACAATAACTTTCAAGACCACATAACTTAAAACTGTATGTGAATAATCAACTGTTTAGACCATATCAGTTAGCGAAAAGCTTCTCAGATTGTAACATCATGTAAATAAACTCACTTATGCCTGAATACTGAAACGTCCCTCAAATATTCAACGGCTTGTCAAACGTTTGAGCAGTTCCTAAACCCTATATTCATATTCTCATATTTAAATTTTAAGTATCTCTTAAATTTAAGTGTCTCAAATTGAGATGCGCTTAAACACTACTCAACTAAAAAATGGTATACTGAAACATCACTCAACGCGTTTTAGCTGTAAAATCAAATGTCAAATTGATTTAAGTACTCGTTATTATTGAGTGTGGTAGCGAGGACTCTCAAATCTGTTAAAAGTATTTTTCAAGTTTTAAATATGTCCGTTACGTCGTTATCTTCTCTTTCGGACAACGAAACGCCTCTAAGAAGTCGAAGAAATTATATCAAGCTTAACGCTTTCGAAAAATATGACGATAAAGAAGTTCGTGCGCGGTTCCGCGTTTCCAAAGAAACAGTGTTGTATTTGGATTCTGTATTTGGCAGCATGATAAAACCATTGATGAAAAGAAATAAATCTTTGAACCCGTGGATCAAATATTGATAACCCTTCGGTATTATGCTACAGGCAGTTATCAACGAGTTATAGGGGACATATTCCACATCGAGCAACCTTCTGTGCATCGAATCGTGCAAAGAGTTACTGAAAAAATAGCAAATATGAGATCTCTTTTTATAAATATGCCAACTGCTGAGGAACGTCTAGAAGTAGCAAATGACTTTTATGCAATTGCTGGATTTCCAAGAGTGATGGGTGCTATTGACTGTACGCACATTAAAATTAATTCTCCAGGTACATATTCTAATCATGAGCTATACTTATACTCCTACATTATCATATCTATTATTAATATGTTATATACATACACTCATTGTTATTAAATCTTTGCAGGGGGAGCTCAATCTGAAAGTTTCCGAAATAGAAAAGGTTACTTCTCCTTGAATGTGCAAATGGTATGTGATGCGAAATTGCGCATAAGAAATATCATTGCAAGATGGCCAGGTTCTGTACATGATAGTACAATTTTTAACGACTCACCATTATGTGCCCAATTAGAGAGAGATTTTACCCCTATGGTACTTCTGGGCGATAGTGGATATCCATGACGCCCCTATTTATTAACCCCAATTTTAAATCCAAGGACACCAGCTGAAGAAGCTTATAACCGTTCACAAATTAGAACCAGAAATCCAATAGAAAGGCTCTTTGGTGTTCTTAAAAGAAGATTTCCCTGTCTCCACTATGGGTTAGGTCTGAAGACTACCAATATTCCACCTATTATTGTGACATGTGCAGTACTCCACAATATTGCTATTTCAAGGCAGGATGTAGTTGAAGAGGATGATCCTTTAACTATTGTAGAGGAAGAAATTATGGTACAACCCAGCAATGAAACAAATCAAAACTTTATTGTGAGGACATCGTTAATAAATACATATTTTTCTGGTTAATTTTTTTTTATTTTAAAATCAATTCTTTACAACATAACGAATACTAAAACAATAATCAGTCAAAAGTTTGCTATATCACAGTGTAGATTCATGAAAATACAGTAACAATATAATTCTTCTGTGTTTATCACTGAACTCCTAAAAGGCTGGACCAATTTGGATGATTCTTTTGTTTGAGTCCCTGGATGGTTTAAATTCTCAATTAGATCTGTTGTTGAGGTCCAGAAATCACCCATAATGTAAAATGTGACAATGTGGTTGTTGATTTTCAAATAAATCTGATAGAATAAAATAGAATAATTTTTTATTCAATATTGATTATTACATAATACTTTTTAAAGTTTTATTTACCACTGGTTCGGAAAATACCTCTGTCCTGGGAAAAAACAGCAAGAAATCCAGTGGGACTTTTTTCCAAACATATTTCACTTAACAATAATTTCATTTATACAATTTTTAAATGATTTTTCATAGAACCAGCATGGTGGCGATCACCTTATTCCCAGGGGTTATTTTCATTCATGTATTCCTTGATATTATAATAACCCTTTTTGTACAGTTTTTCTTTAATAAAACTTTTAAACTTGTTTATTGACATACTTTGAATATGGTAGTATGTTCTGGGATTTTGTTGTAAAAACGTATACATTGCCCCATAAATGAATTACTGATTCTATGGAGAGTAGTAATTGGATATTGTTTTACTCTGATATATAATTGACAGAGATTCTCCTTAAGGCAAAAAGTATCTTACAACAACCCTAATTGGAGTCCTGCATTTGTTTTTAGACCCGCATTATGCGGTTTACAATTATTCATAAACGGAAATAGTTTAAAATCACGTACATTATTTATTACATCCGGAATCTTATTTTATAATGTAATTACAAACTTAAATATTATATATACTATAAATCAAATAATTATGCATTTATTTAATCAAGTTGTTTAATAATAAGAGGTTTAAGTAAGTTTATAATTATGGCTGAGGGCAGGAAACATTTACTAACAAAAGATAAATTATACAATGTCAAAGTCTTAAATCTAAATATGTTACAGTAATAAAATATTCATGATATAAACTAATTCTTTTTGTCTGGAAGCTTATAACCTATTTAATTTAAAAATTTGTATTTCTAATTAATATTTGTTAAGCTCCATTTTGTTTTTGTTTATTAAATATTTATTTTCTAATTTGGCATTTCTTTGTTTTGCTTTAAAATATTGTTGTTTAATGGTTTCATGTGATTTCCGTTTTGTTACATTATGTTGGTGTGCTGAAAAATGTTTATCTAAGGTTATTTTACAACATTATTAACAAAAAAACAGTGTTTAAAAAATCATATATGAATATGTATAATTTACATTATTCATTAGCAAAAATATAATTTTTATCAAGATATTACTCAACCTCACTAATGTCACATAATATATATTAATAATTTATTCCATAATGCACAATTGATGAAAAGTAAAATTAAGTCAATACCTTTTGTATCAGATGTTATTGTATGAGGTTTATTGAGTTGTGTATCGCTAGCAACGCAAAGTCGGAAACGCATTTGGAAAAATCCCAAATTAGGGGCTTTTTAGGTGCTAATTAGGTGCCAAGTTTAAAAATTAGGTGCTCTAAAATTTTCAACGCAACGACCTGTTCAAATTTGCGTTGCTAGCAAAACGTCTCGCTAGCAGCGCAATTAAGTTATTAGATATACGATAAATATTAATAGCAAGGAATTAAGTGCTAATTAGGTGCTGCAAATATACGCAATAACAAGGCGCCCCTAATAAAAATAAAGTCGTTATTCCGAAAATTATCCAGCAAGGCAATTTTTTTTTATAGGATAAGGGTGACAAACTAGCACACAGTCCACGTGATGGTAAGTGGTTGCTGTGGCCCATAGACATCTACATCTATCTTCGATTAAGAATCAAAATGCGTTGTCACCTGTAAGGACTAAGATGGATTGCCTCGTTTCCCGTAAAAAGGGGTCTCCGGTTCTCTACTCTCACCATACGAAACACAGCAGCGTTAAGCTGCTATTTTACGCTGGTATTCTGTGAAAGCGTGGTCCTTCCCCGGTCGAGCCGACCCATTCGTGCTACAACCATAATATAACTGCAGCATGGCTCTACCACGTAAAAAATTAGGTCTTTGTGTTTGTGCCATCTAGCGTCTATCCTACTTACCACCTTGAGAGTCCATCGATTTTGATTTGATTAAATGACTAGAACTATAGAACGTTGTAGATGGCGCTATTTATTACAAAGCAATTTACTGGAAAGAAAATATCCTTTCGAGTACACTAAAGTTTAGGCTTCACATGTCTAAAAATAAGAATTGTAACATTTATTTGGCTGAAAATTTCAACCATTAATATTATAAATCTATAATATAATTTAATATAATTTTCAACCAAATTTCAACCATTTTCAAATATAATCATATTAAATCTGAAAAACAAAAAATGCCGTTCATACCTTATAGTAAGGTAATGGTGGTTTTAAATCCGATAATTTCCAGAATATTACCGTCATCTACATGCGACCTCAATAATCTTTCAGCACCTAATTAGCACTTAATTTTTAGGAACTGATAAAGAACAAAAAATACTGTTCATACATTATAGTAAGGTAATGGTGGTCGTGGACCCCATAATTCCCAGAATAATATCGTAATCTGTATCGGGTTTCGATAATCCATCTGCAGCACTTAATTCCTTGCTATTAATATTTATCGTATATCTAGTAACGTCATCAGCGTTGCTAGTGATACGTTTTGCCAGCAACGCAAATTTCAATGGTTCGTTGCGGTGAAAATATTGGAGCAACTAATTTTTAAACTTGGTACTTAATTAGCACCTAAAAAGCCCCTAATTTGGACTTTTTCTGAAAGCAATTTTGATTTTCAGGAAATCTGAATTTTGCATCTGCTATGTTCTGAATAACGACTTTATTTTTATTAGGGGCGCCTTGTTATTGCGTCTACTTGCAGCACCTAATTAGCACTTAATTCCTTGCTATTAATATTTATCGTATATCTAATAAATTTATTGCGTTGCTAGCGAGACGTTTTGCTAGCAACGCAAATTTCAATAGTTCGTTGCGGTGAAAATTTTAGAGCACCTAATTTTTAAATTTGGCACCTAATTAGCACCTAAAAAGCCCCTAATTTTGGATTTTTCCAAATGCAAATTCCCGACTTTGCGTTGCTAGCGATACACAACTGGTTTATTGCTATTCTGCACAATATAGTCATTTGATAAAAGTGTTTGATGGTTATCTAAAAATAAAATTAGTATGAAAATCAAATATGTATCTAAAAAAATATAGTAATATAATATTTACTGGTATTAGCACTGTCATCCTTATTTACATTATTCACTGTTTAAATAGTTTCTATGTTCTTAGAAATCAATTCTGTGTCACCTGATAAACAATAATTAATTTTATTTCTTATTGAAGATCTAAATTATAGAGATTAAACAAACTAACAAAATTTTTTTTGGATTTTGCATTGGTTGCACTTGTGGAGCAACCATTGCTAAAATCTGAGCATCTTGCTGAGTTAGAACTGATGTATAGGATCCACCACCAGTAGAAGTTATTTCTATCTATATAAAAAAAAAAACTTAATTACTTAATAGGTACTTAGTCAATTATTTTCAAAATATATGGCAATATATACCTTATCTATTGATGCCCTTTTTTGGGCCTCTTTTGTTTTTTTCATTGTACTGTAGTCTCTAAAAACAAAATGATTATGAAATAATACGAATACAATAAATCGTGACTACTTAATATTTATACAGTGTTGTATTCCTTGCACACACAATCCCAAGCTTGTCGTTTCTTAAAAATAATGTGGGCGTTCGTCTCTTTATTTTCTATAATATGTAACACGCGTTACAATATGAACAACTTTTATTTAATTCGCAATGTAATAAAGGGCATTCTATTCGGTTAAAATAATTTGTTTCATTTGAAGATTTAAATATTTACTTACTTTTTTATTAATTCTAATAAAGTATCTTTCTCAGACACTGTGTAATTGCATCCGCGTCTCTTTTTAATATCCATATTTTACTATAATTTGTACTTAGCCTTTAATTGAAACTAGCAAAATATATGTTCAATAAAATTCGAAAATTTAAAAATCACTGGACGCGGTCAAAGAAACTGACACTGACAGTGACAGCACATGACAGTAAGATTTTCGATTCGTTCTAGGACAACAGACAGAGCGATTTTCGAAAAATTTTATACTTTGAAATGTCCTTTTTATCCACAATATTTAAAAAAAAACACATAAATCACATTCTAAATGAAAGTATTATTAGGAGGTTATTTTTGAATATAATTTTAAAACAAATCGAACATAAAATTATTTAAACCTGTTTAAATGATGTTGCATAAAACGTATTTAAATACAAATATCGTAAAATTGTCAAGAACAAAGTTTTATAAATGAATGTTACCATGACGTAAACATTTGAGAGCTGCTCAACTAATCAAGCCCACAAATCACTTGAGTGATGTTTCTGTATTTCAGTTAAATTTGAGTGATGCTTAAATATAGGGGATCTTTAATAAAGTGACAGATTTAAGTTGCGTTTCAGTATTCGGGCATGAGTATGGTGTAACACTTGAGAAATAAAATTAGGAATCTTATAAACTACATACATACATACATATAAACACGCCTCTTTCCCGTAGGGGTAGGCAGAGACCACTTCTTTCCACTTGCTACAATCCTTACATACTTGTTTCGCTTCGTCCACTTTCATTATTCTCTTCATACATGCTCTGCGGTTTAGGGTGCTCTTGACCTGGTATTTTTTCAAGACGTCCCTAATTTGGTCTTGAAATGTCCGCATTCATTCATTCACACTCGCCTTATACACTTTTTTCGTCATTCGTTCTTCATTCATTCTCTCGACGTGGCCAAACCATCTCAGCATACCTTTCTCAATTTTTGACACTACATTTTCCTGCTATTAGAAAATGAAACAAAAGCATAAAGCCATGAAATTTATGTTAATAGAAACTTACTACAGTTTTTTTTTTGTAATTTTTTATACCAAATTACAAAAATATGTATATCTTGTTTTGGACATTTCAATAACATTTTTTTTTGTTATTTAAACATTACTCCCACCCTAAGATTTTCTCCTGTATTGTGGAGGCAGTTTACAAACATAAATTGCACAAGGACAAACATCCATACCTAGAACAATTATTTGTAGGCCATACAAATTCTTATTCCTTGTGGGATTTGAACCCACTGCCCTCAAAGTCACAACTCAAGCTAAACCACTGCCCTATGGAGCCATCAACCGTAACCATTATTATAAAGATCTTTATTTTTATGGAATGAAATAAGAGTGAGAAAAAAAAGTTTAATAGATGATGTAGACTGTTGAATGGTGTAGTATATTCATGCTGGTAATCTATTACTTTGCACATTGTATGCATTCTGCTTTTTCTTTTTTTTCTCATCAGTCCATAAAAGTTCACTGGTGAACATAGGTCTCTCCCATTGTAGGAAAGATATGCCTTAAGCACAATGCCAGGCAGCTGGATTGACAATAACAGTACCAGAAGTTTCATACCTTTCACTCTGCTCTCCGTCGCCAGTGTGTAAAACAACTACATGACATATTAAAACAAAAACAAGCTATCGATGTTTATTAGTTATTATAGTATGGAAATATAATTAGTAGCTTTGAAAATTGCATTAATGTACTACGAATACTCCCATAATTTGTATGTGTTTAGTTTTGCATTCCTATATTGCACAATATGTAATATTTACACATATGTCTATTAAGTATCGACACGTCTCTGTGCAAATATAAGCCTGCAACTGGCAATCAATTCATCAGTACTGCACCTATTTGTGGTCTCACCCGCTTTACTTTTCCTCTTGTTAGTGATAGTTTGATTGATAGTGAAAGTCTAATCTCTGCCTACCCCTCTTTTTGTTGGGCGGTTGAGTTTATGCTATTGTGTATGTACATTATTTTTTATTGTCGCATTAACTTACTATTATTACTTTAACAGATTTAAAATTATTTTTATTTACAGGTGCAGCTTGCAGTTTAAATGCACCACAAACTTTGGCTGACAATACTGTTATATGGGGTTCTGAACACCATAACAGAGAAGCATTGGAAAAACAACCATCGCAGATGCTTCAGTTGGACTTTTTGAGTAAAGTGATGCCTAATTATCATAGACTTAGGAAACCTAATGTGCATAAGAGGCAGACTTCTAGGCAGTCTCAAGAACCAATAAAAGCTTAATGTGTCCAACCATAGGATATCAATGTAAAATGTAAATTAACATTCAAGAAAAATTGAGATCTATTATTTATTTAATTATTTAAAAGGTAATAAATTAAAGTAAATAGTATTTTTCCAAATTATTACCCGAATATTGTACCATAAAACACCAGTTTACAATTAGAATTTATTTCACCAGTTTACAATTTATTAACTAGAATTTATTTCTCACATTCTCTACTCCATAGGAAATTTTAATAAAAAATAATTAAGGATGTAGTTTCTTGTCTTTTGCACCCAATTAACACTAAAGTACTGAAAAATTTGGCTCTAAAATCGTATTATATTTTTGTAGAATAGATCTCATAGACTGGCAATGACAGGTAGCATTGCCAGTGAAAGAGTATATTATTATTTTTATAGTACCTGTAATAAACTTTTAGTTTTTGTATTGTAAATTCAAAATGCATTGATTATTTGTGTCGTGAAAATGCATTGATTGAAGGCGTTGGCTATTAATGGCGGTGTAAAAATATCCACTATTCTATAACGTCCAGAAGGTGTATGAAGCAATGGAGGGAAATTTAAACAGAAGATGGGCACCAGCATCTTACAGATAACAACTAAAAAAGGTGATGTTTGTGAAAAGTATACTGTCACATTCTTTTCTCATTAACATTTAAATTGTTAAACTGGTGCAAAACAGCAACTTTACAGTACGCCACGTAACAGTTCATCAATTGGGTTTAGGGTATATTTTAGAAACCGCTTATGTGATCTGCTTGAAATTTGAATACATTGTTCTGCTTCTGTATATTTATAATATGTCCTACAAGATAGATTTCTAATATTACTCAATTTAATAAAATATCACATGCGTCATTGTTCTATGAACACTCATGTGACGTATGTTATCATACGTCGTTGTTTTGCGGATTTTCTTCGTATTTCACATGACGCAAAGTAACTTCCGTCGATGTTTTAGGAAATCTCTAACAAAATTTTGTGACGGGCTTCAAAGTTATAGGTTAGTAGATGAAAAATATATATTATTTTGGCTTACATTTTTTATTTATTTTTAACATTTATTATCAGATAAATTTTAAAACAAAAAAATCAAATTTATGACACTAAAAGTAAGAGATCAATAGTTTTAAAAATCACAAGACTTGTAAAAAATCAAAGAAAAAATTTAATCAAACAGTAGTTAATATTAAAAAAAATGTTACGAGGAACATTATTACTTATTACTATCAATACAGTATAATCAGTCTCAAACGTTACTCTTATAATATTGGAGTATAATCAAACTTAAACGTTACTCTTAAAATATTTGAGGATCATTATACATTTTGTTTTAATTATGCAGTTTTATTCAGAGTCATCATCAGTTTCAGATACGGTAGTATGGCCATGTGTCAGAGCTTTGAAATATTCGTGATACTTGGTGGGTATAATCCCAGTCTCGCACAGATTCATTAGATCTTTATATTTGTCTTTAGAAATATATTAACAGTGGTAGAGCCAAGCGGTAGCTTTTGCTGTCGCACGGATGGGCCTGCTCGAACCGGGGTGGTACCACGACCTCACAGAATACCAACGTGAAGTAGAGGTTTACCTCTGCGTTGCGCTTGGTGAGTGCTGGTGGCCGGAGGCCCAATTTCCCCCCCCCCCCCCCCCCATCAACATGGTAGTGGAATTAAATAAAAGACTACCCCACGAGGGTACCAGCACCCCTGGAGAATCCCTCGCTGAGCATCCACGACCAAACTACTTCACTCCTGAGCGTGGGTGCTCAGGCTGCCCCACGTATTCTGGGGGGCGGGGGGGGGGGGGGGGCTAAATTCCGCTTGCGACTAATGCTGCTCGGGGCAAGCGGAGCAATACAACCAAGGCGACCCCTGTCACGCTATCCGTGAATTTATGCAACATCAGGGGACTTCATTCCAACCTTAACGCTGTCCATTACCATCTAGAGACGGCGAAGCCGGCCTTGCTCTTTTTAACCGAGACTCAGGTGTCTTCTCCGGCTGAAACTTTATATCTCTCCTACCCGGGATACAAATTGGAACACTCCTTTGTGCCCCGGGCTGGAGTTTGTGTTTACGTCGGAGAGGACATCTGTTTTCGACGCCTCGGCAGCCTTGAAGGTACGGACCTGTCCATCCTATGGCTGCGCGTAGACAGCGACGACCATCCCCGCGTCTACGGGTGCCTCTATAGGTCCCATAGCGGTAATGCCGACACAGACCGACTCATCGACCACGTCCAAATGGCTGCAGACTCCGTGCTACAACAGGTCCCATCCGCAGAGATCGTGATACTCGGTGATTTCAACGCCCACCACGCTGAATGGCTCATCGACCACGTCCAAATGGCTGCAGACTCCGTGCTACAACAGGTCCCATCCGCAGAGATCGTGATACTCGGTGATTTCAACGCCCACCACGCAGAATGGCTTGGTTCTCGTTTAATCGATCATGCGGGTAGATCTGTCTACGACTTTGCTTTGGCATATAGTCTAACACAACTGGTTACTTCGCCTACGCGGATCCCAGATGTGGAAGACCATGTACCTTCCCTGTTGGACCTTCTGCTGACCTCTCATCCGGACGGATATCAGGTCTCCGTCGATGCCCCTCTGGGCTCTTCGGACCATTGTCTGATCCGGAGCACGGTGCCACTCACGCTCCAATCGCAATTGCGATCTGCAGCTTGCCGCCGTGTTTGGCACTATAGGTCAGCTGATTGGGACGGGATGCGGTGTTTTTTTGCATCCTACCCTTGGGGGCGGGTTTGCTTCTCGCCGGAAGATCCCAGCGTTGTTGCCGATTCTGTTGCTAATGTGGTACTTCAGGGTATGGAACTTTTTATTCCATCCTCTGTGGTGCCCATCGGAGGCAGATCCCAGCCATGGTTTGGTCGCTCCTGTAAAATAGCATTACGCTATAAGCAGGAGTGCTACCGGGCCTGGGCTGACGCATCAACGTCTCGGGATTTAAACACCAGCGCACTTAAAAAGAAGTATAATTCCGCCTCCAGGTCCTTCAAAAGCGTCATTGCCAAGGCAAGGTCTGAGCATATCGGCAGAATTGGCGAGAAGCTAGTTCGCCTTCCTTCGGGAAACCGTACATTCTGGTCTCTCGCCAAGGCTGTTCAAGGGAACTTCTGTCAGCCATCCCTTCCATCTCTGCACAGAGAGGACGACTCACTGGCCCATGCCGCAAAAGAGAAAGCCGATCTGTTGTGCTCTCTTTTTGCGTCTAACTCGACTCTAGATGACGGGGGGAACACACCGCCGACCCTCCCGCGATGTGAGTGCTCCATGCCGGATGTGCGATTTACACAGCGCTCGGTTCGCAAAGCACTCTTCTCCCTGGACGTCAGCAAGTCGAGTGGGCCCGATGGAGTCCCTCCCATTGTGCTTAAGACGTGTGCTCCGGAGTTGGCACCGGTTTTAACGCGTCTTTTCCGGTACTCCTACTCTCAAGGCGTAGTCCCAAATTCATGGAAGACAGCTTTGGTCCACCCAATCCCTAAAAAAGGCGACCGCTCAGACCCGTCCAACTACAGGCCTATCGCCATCACCTCCTTGTTCTCCAAAATAATGGAATCCATTATAAACTGCCAGCTCATGAGGTACCTTGAGGATCACCAGCTGATCAGTGACCGTCAGTACGGTTTTCGTCGGGGTCGATCAGCAGGTGATCTTCTAGTTTACTTAACTCATAGATGGGCGGAGGCAGTAGAGTCCAAGGGGGAGGCATTGCCGTTAGTTTGGACATAGCGAAGGCCTTCGATCGGGTCTGGCACAAAGCGCTTCTTTCGAAGCTTCCTTCCTATGGGCTTCCCAAGAAATTGTGCAAATGGATCACCAGTTTCCTTGCTGATCGGAGCATCAAGGTCGTAGTAGACGGTGCATGCTCCGATTTCAAGCCTAACAACGCTGGTGTTCCACAAGGCTGTGTGCTATCACCAACGCTGTTTCTCCTGCATATCAATGATATGTTGCTAACTGATAGCATTCATTGCTATGCAGACGACAGCACTGGGGATGCCTTATATACCGGCCGTGCCAATATTTTTCGGGAAAACGTCGCCGAGTACCGGGACAAATTTGTGTCTGAAGTCGAGTCTTTGCTTAACAAAGTCTCGGATTGGGGCCGACTAAATCTAGTCCAGTTCAATCCCCAGAAGACACAAGTTTGCGCGTTTACCGCTAAAAAGAACCCCTTTGTCGTATCTCCTCAGTTTCAAGGCACTCCCCTTGCTGCCTCAGCCAGTATCGGAATCCTTGGCGTCGACATATCGAATAGCGTGCAGTTTCGTGGTCACTTGAAAGGGAAGGCCAAATTGGCCTCTAAAAAACTTGGCGTGCTCAGCAGAGCGAGACAGTATTTCATGCCGGCACATCGCTTGCAACTTTACAAAGCGCAAGTTCGGCCCCACATGGAATACTGTTCTCATCTCTGGGCCGGGGCACCCCAGTGCCAGCTCTTTCCACTTGACCGCATCCAGCGCAGAGCGATTCGAATCGTCGACGACCGAGTTTTTTTCGATCGGCTCGATACACTGGCACTGCGTAGAGATGTTGCATCTCTTTGCGTATTTTATTGCATCTATCACGGGGAGTGCTCTGAGGATTTGTTCGGACTAATGCCATCCGCTATATTTCACCATCGCACGTCGCGACAAAACTCCGTTACCATCCATACCATCTGGATGATTGGCGGTCCACCACTGTGCGATTTAGAAGAAGTTTTCTCCCTCGCACAACTTCTTTGTGGAATCAATTACCACCAGCGAATTTTCCGAACCGATACGGCTTAAGAACCTTCAAGAAAAGAGCTTACACCTTTCTAAAAGGCCGGCAACGCATCTGCAATTCCCCTGGTGTTGCGGTTGTTCATGGGCGGCGGTAGTCACTTACTATCAGGTGAGCCGCATGCTCGTTTGCCCCCTATTCTATAAAAAAATTGGCGTTCGGTTCAAAATATGCTTTTTTAAGAATAAATTCACGGTTTCTTGTCTCCTTGCGTGTTATCAAAATCATAGATTCATCATCTAAACTGTACTTGTATTGTATTTTGTTGGGGTGGCTTTCTTGAACATAATTATATCTCCTTCATATTTGCCCATGAGACTTTCATTTACCTTATTTTTGTCCAATTCTTATTTCTTAGTAAGTCTTTAAAATTATAAACCATATCCTGAGTTACATCTCGCACTTCGTATAGGCTTTCCGATTTTGCCCATCTAATCAAAATTTTCCACTCTTCTGGAGTATAAATAAGTTTCCACAGCTCTTTCTATGACTGAATGAACAGAATCACCCTCGTTTTGGGTATGGCCTTTTTCTAAAAACCGATGAATTATGGAGACACCAAACTCACTGGCTGCATGTGTATATAGTGAAAATATAATTCGGCTTTTGTCTTGACCGCCGCAGTTATCCGACCAAAACCTAAAATCTTTAAATCCCTTTCCTGAAAAATCTTTGATAAATTCGTAAAGGCAACTTCATTTGCATCACGTTTTGCAACGTTCTCATTACACATAACAGTAGCCCTCTTTAGAAGCCGTGTTATAAATTTTAAATTATAACAAAATAGTTTGCGTTTGTAATAAAGTATGCTCATTTGACCATGGGGACAGGTTAGGACCTTTTGGAAATCAAATGTCGCGCATAAAATGGTTCCATTGGACTGTATAGCTTCTACCTTGTCATTATTTTTTAGCTCTCTTGCAATATTTTTGTTTGCTTTATGTTTTTTATAGTCTGTTTTGATTTCTTCTGAAGGGTTTTTTTTTTAAATATATAGCTTTGTTTAAATATATAGCATTGGTCACAAGTGTCTTTTTTTGGGATATGAAAAGTAAGATTAAACTTTCTGTTTACAATATCTCGGTACTGTCGAAGAGTTGTAGCTATGTTTGAATATTTCTCCAGGTCAGGCCATTTCTTATACATTTCAAACATTCGAGCAATACTCAGACTATCATCCAAGTACAGTCTTTTTCATGACTTTCGACAGTAGTGTGACTCAACTGGCACAAACGAATTAACGTGAGCACACGCAGATGGTAGCATTCCGTCATTAATCAGTTTTCTGTGATTATTATGACGCCCACTCAAGTCTTATTCTATAGCCGTGCTACCATCGTACTTAATCCATGCGGTTCTTGTCAATCGTTCACTGATGCCCAGGGTATTTAAAAACATAGTTTTGCAAACATTAATTTTGTCATAACCGACATTGTCATTGTTTTTGTTTTTTGGTAAGAAATATTTATAAGTGAACTCTCTTTGGTGTTTAAGTTCCCGCCGGAATGTCCTAGCTTTGTGTTGTTTCGTGGTG